CAGCATCTGGGACACAGATGTTAAAATTTAAGTGATGTAACTCTTCGCTTTCGTCCATTCACATGTTCGATCATCCGTCAATTATTGAGCGATTGAAAAAGTACATGCATAACTTTTTGTGACAAAACAATTCAAAAAAGGTCAATCACTCGTGAGAAACATGATATGAAGCGTTTAGTGATGAAACGTCTCTTGTAAATTTGAGAAATTACTTGGTAAATGAAAAGTTTTAGGTGGGGTTTCTCATATGATTTGATGAAATACTATTCATGAAAGTGTTTCGCGTTCAATAGCTGCAGACACTGTTGCTATAGTACAGATGAAAGCACTTATAAAGTACTGACTCCTATATTATGATGGATTGAAACGCAGAGGTATCTGGTCTTTGATGGATCTTAACATCTCTTACTGAGGATACTATCGAAACTGATCCGGATATCCCGGATTACATTTAACTGATCCGAGATATCACTCTTTTGATAGCTTCATAAGCTGAGGTACCTCTCTCTGACAATGAGTATTTTTTGATATTCTAGGTGAGGCCGTTAACGAATCTATCAGTGAATCGTCATTAAAACGATTTTAGAACCCAAAATGCTTCCCAACTGATCAATTCTGTGAATTTTGTATACAGATAGCAATAATACTGATCTAGAAGGTGTCAGTATTTGTGGGATGGATTTAAATTGAGATCATTGCAGATATTGAAGAGTTAGCACATCACAAGTACCAAGTGCTAGAAGACTGCCTGTTCTATAAATTGACTGATGAAGCGGATAAGATGCAAGGTAAAGGTAACGCGTTGATGTTGCTGCCTCCTACTCTAGCACCTGGTGAAACGTTGGATGTGGATATTCTGAATGTTGTTGTACGACAAATGTGGATGGTATGACTTATTTGAATTCATTCATACATTTTATCCATCGATTCACAAATGAAAATGTTACAATTATCATTCTTATCACTGGCTTATGGTTACCGACTTTGTTAGACGGTAGAATGTTCAGTCAGAGCTTAAATAATGTCTACTCATATTGCATGGAACTGATACATTCAATCATGTTGTGAATGCAGTTTAAGTTCAAACTTGATTGTAGTATTGTAAAGTTATGCTCCAAAAAAGTTGAGACTGAAGTGGGCTAGGGCATTTTTGTTGTTCCAAATTGCAAGGACTCGTCCAAATTTCACATGTGCTTACACTTTCAATTGAGCCGTTAAAACATCCCAATTTTCGTTGTGGGTATGGGTTTAAGATTCGTTCCCAGTTTCGTATCCATGTATCTTAGATGGTTTCAACCCGAGTAGATATTGAAATGCTGATTTTATAATTTGATTATTTACATGCAGATATGAGAGATAATACAGATATTTGTAATGGATTTCAGAACGAAGTATGGCGAGAAATGAATATCAATGGATATATCTCATTGGTAAGTTCCAAATTTCTTAAGAATATTTCAAATATTTACTCGAAGATCTGGAAGATGAGCATGAAATTTTGAAATGTTGGCGATTTTTGAAAATGTTCGTCAAAAATTTGGAGGAAAACCCAAATTTCATTGATGCTCTCTACTGAGAACAGCAGGACATCGCCGTCAGTAGAGATATCTGTGAACGAGCGATTTCAAGCGAGCGATACTCGCTAGTGATAATACAAAAAGTATCGCTCGCTGAAACATATCGCTCACTAACGATGATTATTTGAGTTTTGATTTGCTGATAGAATGTGATAAAGTCATGATAATGAACATACTGATAAGCTGATAAAGTGATGAAATTTGAAGACCTGGAAAGATCGTCGCATGAAATGG